AAAGGAGTGCTCAACAAGTGGGAAAGTAATTGCTCAACAACCGTGGAACAAGAGAGGGTCAGCTGCGAGCTGTGCACATGTGGCAGCTCTTCAGAGCCCAGTCTTGAAGTGGTAACAGAGGCTTGGTGTCACAGAACACCATCCGGTGGGAAGTCTACCCGGGAACTGCCAGGAGTGCTTGTCCATCTAGCTCCTGAAGGTCCCCCAGGACTAGAGGGCAGGAAACAATTGCGTCCAACACCACCCCCTCTTCCCACTACCTGCCAGGCATTAGCCATTAGATAGGAAGGCAAATGAAAACACTGTTAACCCACCGTCAACATTCTTAAATGACATCCCGAAAACTACATTAAAAGAATGGTAAAATTATAAAATAAAGACATACAAAAGCTAGCAAGCACCAGTACTAAAGACTGCTTCTGCATATGCATTCTTTCATTGCCATCTCATACTAGTTTTTCCGTAAGAATCCGAGTTCATTCAGGTTGTTCAATGCTTACTGATTAAGCAGCTATTTAATGTCTGCTTACCTTCATTATTTAGTGCGGTCATAAGAACAGCCAGACTGGGTCAGACAAAAGAGGTCCATCATTCTAGCCCAATATCTTGTCTTCTTTTAGAACATCCTCACTTGCTCAGACTCAACCCATTGTTCCCATAGTGATAGAAATGTAGCCGTGTTAGTCTGGGGTAGTTGAAGCAAAATGCAGGACAATGTAGCACTTTAAAGACTAACAAGATGGTGTTTACCATCCTTGGTTACTTCGAAGAGAACACGTTTTACGCCTTTCCTTAACTGAGCTGCACTAATGTTGCAGATATTTGTATAAACACAAGAAATTACCCGAGCTCACGGTTTAGCTGAGACCTGACGTCAAGAAAGGAAGTTCAGTAACTTCCTGGAGAATCTCAGAACTTCAATAAAAAACAGAATGAATTATCATGCATTTGTCCAGACTGAATTTCATCCTATTTGAGACCATTTCTCCTGTTTAGCAAAATCATTTTGAATTCTAAAACCTATCCTCCAAAGCCCTTTCAACTCTTCCCAACCAGGTATCCTCCAGAAACTTTACAAGTATATTTTTTATGCCATCATCCAAATCATTTTTGAAGATATTAAAAATAATTGAACCCAGGAGAGATCTCTGTGGGATCCCACTGGGATACCAGTGGTTCACAATGGAGCTGAAGGGGTAACTACTGAGGATGGTTTTCCAACCCTGTTGTGCATCCACCTTACCACAGGTTCATGTAGGCACTGTCTCTAGTTTATGAGAACATAAGAACGGCTATTCTGGGTCAGGCCAACAGTCCATCTAGCCCAGTATCCTGTCTGCCGACAGTGGCCAGAAAAAGATCACGACGTCATTCACGGTTGCAGTGCCTAGGCGATGGCTTATACGAGCAAAAAAAAGTATTTAATTGACGATTTTAGTAGAAATTCAGCTAATAAGCGTATCTCAGATTGCCTCCCTTATTTCCCCTGAGCCAAAAGCCCCAATTACCCCTTATCCATTGCCAAGACCCCTTACCAATTGCCAACTGTGCAACCATACAAAAATCTGCAGCACACTGACCACCAAAACTAATGACTGAAAGAGTGAGACCATGAAGTAAGCTAAATGGAAGCAAGTGCTCTAGGTCTATGATGCTAATTGTACTATTCGTTTTCAAATTACTGAAAACATTGCATTCTGTGGCAGCTTCAATTTAAGTTTCAGCATCAAAGTGCTGCAGAATCCAGGAATCACTGTCACGACATTTAGGTCCAAGGAGTACAAGAGGCCTCTGCTAGGGAAGTTACACGAACTTTAGACACTTAAGAGGTCTCATGCTCTACATCTCCATATTTCCCCATGAGCAAGACTCTCCTACAGATACTCCCATTCGTCCGCTTGGACATGGCTTCACCAGAACTCTGCCCGTCAGATGAGCAGATGGGTTCCCCCAAGGCAGTGGGGGACTGTCATGCTTGTTGGTAACTCCGATGGCGACCATAGTACGCAGTTCACTTACCCATGAAATGCAGCCCTTTGAAGTGAAGGTTTTGAGCTGCTGGAGGCAATGGGGTACATCTCTATACCCCACGCCAGGGTGTTTAAGCATTACAGTCAGGACAGAGTTAAATACCCACCAGCTCAGAAGAGAACAAAAGGTACTCCACTGCCACTTGCCTAACATTTACATTGCCTCTCTCTGCTCATTAAACAGGTTTTGGTTAAATAATGAACAAACTGTATTACAGACTCCGATGAGAATTCCAAAATTATAAACCAACTGGTAAAGCCCAGAGGAGAGCAAAGGGAGTGGGAGGGAGGGAAGGATAATATTGACTAATATAAAGGGCGCAGCTTGACAGTGGATATGCCTGCCACACCTGATCAAACATGCTCCATGGGGGGAGGGAAGGGGGAGAGCAAGAAGGGAGATGGGACAAGGCAGCCTGAAATTTGCATCCGGAACAGATTAAAATGGATTCTTGGGGGACTTAGAAAATACATAACATATATTACTATAAATGCAAAACTGTACTAAAAGCTAACTCAAATGTCAAAGATTACAGCTTGAATAAATTTAAATATAAAAGCCATGTGCTTCCGTGAGCTAATGAAAGAGACATGAAAGGAAAGTCTGGTCAAGAACTAAGCTCTAGCCTCACTGCCTTGAGAAGGTGCTGGACTTAGCATAGGAGTGGACGTCCTCCAGCAGACTCCACCACTGTTACAAAGCACTGCTTGGATTCTATCACATGCCCAAGGCTCAGACAAACTGGGCCATGACATTAACAAAGCCAGAGCAGTCACTGGTGCTGAACTGCTTGCTTAGGGAGCACCTTGTGATCCAAGTGAGATCCCGCTTCAAAGCCAAGCACAAACAGGCACTCTTCTGGCACCCCCATGGTAGAATGAGCACAGGCCATGTTTGCATTCTCTCCCCAGAGCTCACAGGAAGCTCCTGGCTCTCTCAGCACATGAACCTTTTTCCTCTTTGCAAGGAGCAATCAGTAGTTTGGGCTGCGTTCATTCCAGAGAAGTTACTGGGGGCAGTGCCCAAATGCCCACGAAGGCCTGACAGCTAGCCATTGTGACGGTATGAAAATATCAAGACTCTCCGGTTCAATGCTGTTACTGCTTGACACACTGTTTCTGATCATGACTCTTACCCCACTCAGACAGGAAAGAGCTTCAGGAGGCCCAGCTGAGAGAGAATCCCAGCCTCACTCAAGTGAGAGCCCCAGCAGTGGAAACATATGAGCCCACTTCTTATAACCAGGGAATGGAACAGAACATTCCTGTCCTTTCTGATGGTAGGCGTAAAAGGATTGCAGGGAGTAGTCCTCCCACGGCCTGAAGGTAATGTGTATGATCATCCAACTCAGGTGATGACAGAAGACTCCAAAGCATTTAAACCAACTTGCTCAAGGACTTCAGGGTCTGATATGATGTCTTGGAGCAAAAGCATAGCTGAGAAATTTAACTGGGCAGCAAGTACCTACCTAAAATTGCTGGACTGGAAATTAACAGATTCCCTTTTAAGACCAAGCAAGTTCTCTAGGCACAGGTCAGTAATGAAGCAGCCATTGCTTAATACTGCACAGCTTGTTTCCCTGTTATGTGCAGCCATGAGATGGTGGGATCTGGTAAGATCTAATAGAATGCACACTAGGGTTGTAAGAGGTTAACCAATTCACCAGTAAACAGTAGGCCAGGCCAAAGCAGGCCCCCACCTGCTGCAAACGGAAGCAACTTCTCCCCGTTCGCAGTGGTTAACCGGTTAAACTATTGTAATGGGTTTTTACATCCCTAACGCACACCTGATCTGCAAATCTGAGAGGGAAAGGCTCATGCCAACATGACTACCTTGGAGTAAGGCAACTGCCCTGACACAGCTAGTCAGAAAAAACACTCTCCTCCAGAAAAAATGACGTTAACAGGGCTCACGTTGCACAGAGCTATTGGCCCAATGACCCATTTGAACTCAATGTCAGGTTCTAGCAGACTATGGTTTATATGGACCACGTAAGAGTGACCTGTCCTGTCAAAGCTCAGGGAAATGAATCCCCGCAGGCTCACTTCCAGAAAGAAGGAAGAACAATAGTTAAATTCTAGTAATCATTGCAGGAACATCTATCACAGCTGCTGACCTCCCTTTGGTGCAAGGCTAACCAGGGTTTCATCCCTGAACCCCGGAGATTTATATTGAAATTGCAGTCTGTTTGCCATTAATTACAGGCAGCAGGTGACTAAACCTACATTCCTAAGAGATGGGAAGAGGAAGAAGTCAAATAATGAGAGGCTCCTTTCCAAGCAGAATTTTCCTGTCACTCAGAACTATGTGCAGGAACAAAACACTTACCACAGGTCGGACAGAAAGAATACATATGTTTGTGCATGACTTCATATAATATTACAAACCTACTGGATGAGAGAGACACATCAGGGTGACTACAGAAGCACTGGTACAATGGCTATGGATTGCACAGAAATATATTTGACATCCCTCGCATGTATTGTATAAACACAATACATTATATAAAAAACAAATGGTCAGAGTGTAAACTGTTGATCTAAAGCTTAGAACATACGGATATGAGTTAACTGCAAGGGACTGGAGATTCATTAGCCAGAGCTACAGAAAAACAGTTATAAAAGCAATACCATACCTCAGAACAAGAAGGTATGGTAGACACCAACAGTCCTTAGGTTGATGAAAGTCTAATTACATAGGCAAGATATTTGAGTAACTGGAATAAGCACATACATAGTATGTGCTTAGTCATAACCATGTATACACACTCCCAGGAACAAGGCATTTTCCCAATTTCTGAACTGATTTACTATTGTCTATAAAGGATGTACATGTTAATGCTTTTCTATTACTAAATATCTGATCCTTGGATAAGTGCCACACATGAGATGTTGTGTGCGCACCCAGGTACAGCCATACCATATTTACACATGTTCTGTTAGATATACATACCTGCACAATGCACTTACCTGTTATGTTATTTAGTACTTCTTTCAAGAGACTAAAACTATGCAGCAGGGGATCACGTTCTTCATCCTACAGGTTACACAAAGGAAGTAATTAATGAGGCAGGTAGAGCCCTAAATCACACAATCAAAAAGGTATATAGGGCCCAAAACGATAGAGTCTCGTTTTAGCTTTCCTTCAGGACAAGCTGTTTTGAGAGATTTTCAAAGAGGGGAAGAGAGGGTAGGTTGGGTTCATCAGCTTCAGTCTCTCCCTATTCCATTCAATTTTCAATTGTATTCCATTTTCCTTTATAGTTTTCTAATGCTGTGTAGCTTGCCCTCTCAAGACTCAACACTCGGTTTTTGCTTTACTGACATAAGAAAGAATTTTGACTTGCTTTCTACTACTCAAAGTTCAGGGCAAATACCCTTTATGCCACACTAACACCCATAGCAAATCCTGATGAAACAATTTAATCCTCAGAACAAGAACACACCAACAATACTTGGCATTGCACCAGTAACTTGAAAACAGAGCCACTGTAAGAAAATGACCAGAGATTGCCATAATTTGTCTATTTTTATCATCACAGGCAGTAGGTCCTCCCAGCTCCCCGCATACACAGCCACACCTCCTAATGGAAGGTACCTAGCACTAATGAAGGAATGCTAAGAAGCCAAAAGGGCCTGCCACTGGACAAATTAAAGCAGAGGTAGGCAGTAATATTTGATGGGGGACCACTCCAAGATTTTGTTAAATGGCCAAGGGTCACATTTTTCTATGGAGATATGGGGTTTGGGATGGAGGTTGGGTGCAGAAGGGAATTTGGGGTAGGGGACAGGGATGCGGGAGAGGGTGTGGGGTTTGGGTGGAAGGGGTTGTGACCTGGGGCAAGGCAATTGGTGTGCAGGATCCAGGAGGGCATATGGATGCAGGAGAGGACTCTGGCTGGGGGGAGGGTCAGGAAGGGAAGTGCTTACCTAGATGGCTCCCAGCCAGCAACCCAGCAGAACCATCAGGCAGGCTCCCCATGTGGCTCTTTGCATCATGCGCCGAGGGGGGAGTAGGCTTCATGTGCTGTCCTCGCACCCAGCACAATCTCTCAGCTCCCACTGGCTGGTTTCTAGCCAATAGGAACCGAGAGACTGTCCTGGGGGTGAGGGCAGCATCTGAAGCCTCTCCTGTTCCCCAGAGTATGCTGCAGAGAGCCACCTGGAGCAGCCAGCTGCTTTGAGCAGCATGTAGCTGCTCTGTGCTGGAGCATCACAATAGGGCGGGCCATGGGCTGCATTAGAAGGTTTGGTAGGCCAATACAGCTCACAGTCCATATCTTGCCCACCCCTGGATTAAAGCTATTTATGCTCGATTAGAACCATCTCTATTTCATGTGCTCTTTTACAGTGAAGCATACAGTACCGCATATGCACACTACACTGTTGAACAGATAAATGCCAGCCAAGAACATCTCCAAAAATCTTGCATGAGCAATCTTTTAAAAAATCAGGTTTGAAACATTATTTCTGACAATGGCATAGCTAGCAGTCACAAGACAGGCATAAAAAGAAAAAGTGACACTGTAGCACATTCAGGGTAAAAAATGCCCCATTTTTATTAGCTTACTCTATGCCCCAAATTTACATTTCCTGGCTCTTACGATTTTAAATGGTCAGGCACAGCAGGACACAAAAGGCATGTAAAAAGTGATGCTAAAATGAAACAAGCACTACTTTCAAACTCTCCCTGTGACACCAGAAGAGATTCCAATAAAGGCTTGAATAAAATGTTAAAGTGAACATGGAGGTGCATAGTCACATCCCAAACTCAGTCACTTTTCCCAAAAAAATGGGGCAATAGATTTCCAACTTGGTTTCTCTGTGCCAGCCAATACAACATACATACTTACAAGCACAAAAAGTGAAAAGGTCAAAGCTGTTTAGAGTAGCAAACCATAGCAAATTATTGTTCCTGTGTGATCTAGAAAACTACTCCAGGGTGCTTTAGAGTTTGAAGGGACAGGAGGCTCAATTTTATTAAAATTTACAGTTTCTATGTTCTTCATAACACAGACAGATCTCAGCAACCCAAGCAAACTTACCAAGTGTGTGTGAGTATTCCATCGAGCATTGCGTTTTATGGCACCCACCACTGTACTGATTTCACCTTGGACAATGTAAATATTTTTATCCACCATCCTGAAAGTCCTAACAATAAAGAGAATCCAGGTTAATGCCTATTAGTTCAGAATAAAGCACATTGATTCAATCTGGTTCTCCAGGTCTGCAAGGGACATGATAGGGATGCAACTGACAAGCAAGACATATTTGTAAAGCATAGGTTAGTGATGGAAGAGTTCCCCATAGAACCAATTTGGTGTATTCCCCGTTTTCAATGTACAGAGCAAAAGAGTTATGAGGAAGACACCCCACTTCTCCATATAAGAAACATACAAAGCAGATATAGCTAGCTACATACATCAGGGGATAAGAGAGGTAATAAACACCTGCACTTGAGCTACCGATCTCCCTTATTTCCCACTAGCCACAAGGATTACTGTAGTTTGTATGTACAAGTTTACCCATTTACAGTGCTATGTAAATACTGCAGCCCTATCCAGTACAGGAAACTGGAAACAATGATGAGAAGTTTAATTCGTAATCAATTCAGTTTGAGGCGGCAACAAAGCATGCACGTGGAGTTGAGAGACCAAGCAGAGAGGTGGAAACAGAAGTAAATCTAGGCATTAATGGTAACATCATGAAAGTGAAGAGGGTCACTGAGAAAGAGTTTAAAGGGAGAAAATGAAAGGACAGCAATGGAGGACAGGAAGCAAACTGATGAGGATCAACCACAGGAGAATTTGAAAGAACAGTCTGGGAATATCACCTGAATTTTTTGTCATGTTATTACAGTTAGCACAAGCCTCAAACATGTGACCATAGGAAATCACTTAACCTACTGCATTATCCCTAACTTGCCAATAGCAGCAATTACAGAATTAATCCAATGCAGACACAGGCACTGACACTTTTTTATGTTCCTGATAAGGAAGCTTTTTGCAGAATTTTGTTCGTAGAACTTATAAGAGGTAGGGTGATTAACCACTACTGGAACAGATTATTGAGGAAAACGGCAGATTCTCCAATGCAACACAGAATGCCTTTCTAGGAAATATGCTTCTGACAAGATGCTGGGATCAATACAGTAGTAGCTAGATCAGCAATGGGCAACCTAGGCTGGTGAGTGGACGCACAAGTGGCCCTCCTTCATTTCAGTGGGCCGCAAGATTGTTGTAAAAAGACAGCCTCCTGGGATAGGATAGTTTTGCTCATTGCACTTGTGTACCTAGAATTGGAGCATGTGCCAATTGAATCATAGCAGCGCTCTGACTAGATGCAGAGAGATCACACAGCTCTCACAGCCAGTGTTGTGTGCAATCAGCATGAACCTCACTTCACGTGCCCCTTGCTTTATGTGCCTGTTACCTTAGTAAAACCAGAGGGGGAAAAGACTACATGGATGGAAACCAGCAGAATCTAACAACCCTGTGCATGGGCAATTATAAAAACATGTCTTGCGGGCCACAGGTTGCCCATCACTGTAGATGAAATTATATGGCCTATGGAATGCAGGAGGTCAGACTAGGTGACCTACTAGTCCCTTCTGGCTTTAAAAATCTGTAAAACTAGACACCTATTAACTACTTTTATGGTGCTGAGCTTCTTGAAGCAAAAGCTCACCACTCCCAAAAGACATTCCGGGCATGTCTAGACTACATCCCTCTTTCGACAGAGGGATGTAAATTAGGCTGATCAAAAGTGCAAATGAAGTGGGGATTTAAATATCCCACGCTTCATTTGCATAATTGTGTCTCAGCGTTCTTTCGAAAAAGGGTATATTGAAAATGAAACCACAGTCTAGATGCGGTTCTTTCGGAGGGGTAGGGGGAACCCTTTTTTGAAAGATCCCATACTCCTCAAAAAGTATGAGTCTAGACATAGCCTCCTTTCTGGTGAAGGCTGTGTCTTCCTCAGTCTAACCCCTGTAGCTTTAGTCAGAGCTTTATAGACAACAGTGAAGCTACAACAAATCATACCACTTCCTCTGCTAATATGCCAGAACAGGATGAGTGGCAGCAAAAGTAAACATTGGAGTTATTCACAAGAGAACAGAACTTGAGAAGAGAGGACGGGAGTAAGAAGTATTGACACCCCCCCCCCCTCCCTCTTTTTGCCTCTATATAAAACCATGGGACAGCATGGAGGGACGAAGAAGAAAGTGCAACCTGGACAGACTTTTGTCTCACCACTGAGCAGTCTGTCCCCTCCAGAGGATCCCACATGCAGAGAACCAGTGCACAGACTCTGCTTATATTTGGTCCGCTTTTAATTCACCTGCATTTCTCTCTGAATGATTTGAGCCCAAGGCAAGCCTGACCCTTGCTCCACAGGTACTTCCTGATGCAGGCAGAAGAAAAGCACAGAAAGTCCCTGTCTCGTCGCCCCCATACAGGCAGGGAGGCTCACGCCAGACACAGACAACTCTGCCCCCCC